CCTGGCTCAGCACCATCAGAGAGGGCTCCCAAGAGGCTGCTGGGCGGGGGATTGGCTTCCTGGACCTGCTCCCTCCCATCTCCCTCCCATGCAGGGCTGCTGTGGGCCATCAGCAGGGGCTGGGAAAGAGCCCCAGGGCCCGTGTCTGGTATAGGGCTGGCACTCAGTAAATGGCAGCTGCAAAAGCAGGATGGCTCCCAGGAGAGGAAGGGTGGGATCACAAGGCACGTCTGCCTTAAAGAGTCCCATCAACGCATGTGGCCATATTGCTGTCCAAAGGTGAAAGAAATGCCAGTCTTATAGCATCTTTAACATCACTGGGCATTTTCATCTAAAAAATTCATAATTTAACAGGTGAAAAATAATACTTTATTATTTTCCCTTGCACTTGGGTTAGCCAAAGGTCGAATATTTTCCTACTTCAGAGTCATTTATGTTTTCTCTTTTGAAATTCCTATAGTCAGGGGCTTAACTTATATTTACGGCTCTGAGTTTTATGTATATATGTGAGTGTGTGTGAGTGTGAATCCCTTTACCTGGTAAAATTATTAACACTTTGCCATTGGAACAGGTGTTAACTGGATTTTTCTGAATTTACTGAGATTTGTTCAAAGCTTGCTGTTTTCTTAATTTGTCCTTTTACTCTCCTATGTGGCCTCTTTAGGAGCGAATTAACTGAAAAGACCAGTTAGGCTTAAAAGAAACTACAAATTATTTAAATAATTACTCCATATAATGCTAAGGAAAAAAAATGAGCCTTTGATTAGGGGCTTGTAAATCTCACAGTCAAATGTGATGTAACCACTTCCAACGCATACCGGAGAGGAAATTCACTTTTTTTTGAACGTGATAAAATTTGGTTAAATTGGGGCCATCAGTGGGGACTGGTTAGGAGAGATGGGAGGGGGCTGACTTAAGGCCCTGGAAGCAGTTTGGCCCTGCGGAAAGAACTGGGGTAGGAGGCGGAGGGACCAATGTGTGAATTCAGCTCTGCCCCTCTGTGTTTCAGCTTTCACCTGAGACTCTGAGAGACAGACAGACAGAGGCCGCTCTGAGCCAGGAGCTAGGACGTCCTGGCCCAGCTGCCCTTACCTGTCCTTGACGCGCAGGATGAGCTGGTGGAAGCGGTCCACGTGCTCGAAGCTGGCCTTGTCCGTGACTGAGTAGACGATGAGGAAGCCGTCCCCCGTGCGCATATACTGCTCCCGCATGGCGCTGAACTCCTCCTGCCCGGCTGTGTCCAGAACTGGGGTGGGATGAGGCCACTCAGGGGCTGTCACCACCCCTTGTGGAGCTCCCATGGCCTGCAGACCCCCATGCTGCTTCTGCTGTCCCCACGGTGGCTCCAGCCAAGCTGGCCCCAAGAGGCTGCATGACTTTCCAGACCCAGCAGGGCCTCAGACCCCTCCAAGTGTGAGGCCCGAACAGACTCATTTGTGGACCTGCTGATTCCAACCTACTTGCCCCCTGGGACTTACCTGTCTACAGAAAAGCCTCATAAAGCCAGTGATCAGCTCTGCCACAAAACCCCTCTGGGACCCCCACACCCGGGCTTGGATCCCTGCTGGTCCTTACAAACTGATTCCAAGGAAGTTACCTGACTCTCTGAGCCCCTTTTCCTCCTATATAAGATAGAAACAATGCCTCTACCTTGCAGCCTCTAGGGAGGAGAGCCCCAGGACATGCACTGGGAAAGCCCTGAAAAGGCTGGTCAGGTAGGGTCCTCAGTCCCTGTGCGGACAGATAGCAGGCAGGCTGCGCAGGGAAGGAGAGGCCTCTGAGAGCCAGGATCACTTGGCCCTAGGATGGGGCTATCACGGGGTGGTAGGAAGAGCTGGGGAGAAAGAGGGGGGAACCATCTCAGCAAAGGCTCTCTTCCCGACACATCCATCCCCCTCTCCCCCCCTCCACCCCTGGACTCCGGAAGCCCACACCCCTTCAGCTTCCTTCCTGCTGAGATAAAATCCTCCCCCTAGGCTGTTTCAGAGTGGCCACAGCCCCTGCTGGGGGCTCTCCTTTGAGATGCACAGGCCTGACCCCCTCAGGCCTGCTAAAGCCCCGAAGCATCCTGCAAACCCCTGCTCACCATCCAGCCTTTCCCATTTCCTAGTTCACTCCACTCTCTGACAGACCCATTTTTCTTCTCCCTGGAGGCAGTGGAGCTAATGGCTATAGATTTTGGAGCCAGATTCTGGGCTGAGTCTGGTTCTTCATTCCTAGAGTATGATCCTGGGCAAGCTCACTTCTCTGTGCCCTTATTTCCACGATGAGAATCCTAAGGGTTGTTTTAAGTTAAAATACTAAGACCCAGGGCACCTGGATGGCCCTAGTCAGTTAAGCATCTGCCTTTGGCTCAGGTCATGGTCCCAGGGTCCTGGGATCGAGTTCCGCATCGGGCTCCTTGCTCAGCGGGGAGTCTGCTTCTCCCTCTCCCTCTACCTGCCGCTCTGCCTCCCACCCCCTGCTTGTGCTCTCTCTCTCTCTCTCTGTCAAATAAATAAATAAAATCTTTAAAAACAATACTAAGACCCTTGGAGCAGTGCCTGACACAAAGAAGCCCTATAGGAGGGTCTGGTGCGAGCTTGTTCTCCTTACCTGGGGTGCTCTCTCCACCTCTAGGCCATCCCCCAACCACCCCTGCTCTCCTGCTCCCCTTACCTTGGCCAGCTGACTCTGACTCATTGCATTCTGCTGCCTGAGCTCCCGGGGACTCTCCCCACCCCTGTACAAACCCTTTATGGCACATTGTCCTTCCTGCGCATTTAAGAGGCCCCCAGTTGGACTGTCAGCTCCAGAGGTAGGAACTGGTCTGCTTGGAACCTGGCACAACAGAACTCAAATAGTAGCTGAATGAATAAATGAATGTAAAGCCTACCCAATTTTGTTCATTCATTCATTCACTGAAGAAATATGTGAGAGCCTACTATGTGCCAGGCAGTGTTCTAGGCACTATAGATCCAGAGTGAATGAGACAAAATCCTTGCTCTACTGGGCCTCACAATCTAGTAGGAAGATTGGCGAACAAATGAATGAGTAATGTAGTTTCTGGTGGAGACAAGTATATACTGTGAAGAACAATATAGCCAGCTGAAGCTTATTGGTGGAAGTTGGTGTCACGTTGGGTAAGGACCAAGGGCAACTAAATAAATCCCACCAGCAAAACAGATGAAAATGTCACAGATCTGGCTGAAGGGATGGGAAGGTGAATAGAACAGCAGAAGACATTCAGGTGATATGTAATTAATGGATTCACAGATTTTGAAGGTGTGTATTGTCCAAAACAAAAACTAGAGATCTAGGATATGTGAAAATATGATCGCTCAGAATTTTAAAAACCCAATTCAATGGGGAGCTGAAAGTCAAAATGGACCCTCTGGAAAGGAAAAATGGTTACTTCACACACTGACTGCCTTAAAAATAATATCATCCATGCTTTCTAAAAGAATTCTTGGAGGAAATACTTCAGCAGAGTGAAAAATAGATCCATGAAAGAAAAAGATGAGTGGCATTATAAACAATGATAAACAAAGAAGACAGCCAAACCTAAGTTAAGTTTAAATAAATGTCGTTACACAATTTAAAGAAAACGAATGGCAATTTAGAACTAAAATCTATGATGATCCATATGTGAGGGTAGGGGCTGGGAAAAAGTAAGTTACTACTAAATTTCTCGCCTCATTTGGGAAGAGGCTAAAGATAATAATTACATCCAGATGTTGATAGAAAAAATAGAATTATACACACACAAACACATGTATGTATATAGAATAACCACTAGAAATAAAACTCAAAAGTTCCTAGTCATCAGAGGGGAAAAAAAAAAACAACAGAACAAAGTAAACAGGACCAATCCAACAAAAGGCAAAACAAACTACACAAAAATCAGAAGGCTAAAAAAGGAAACATGCAAGAAGATGGCAGATGTAAATCTAACTATGACTAACAGCAGTAAAGGCAAATGGGTTAAATCTACCCATTAAAGCAGACACCCAATATAAAATCCATTTGTCTGCTACTACAAAAGACACATATAAAACAAAATGACACAGAAAGAATGAAAAGTGAAAGGGTAAAAAAGGATATGTCAGCCACATGCATCCACAAAATAGGATTCAAGGCCAACGCATTGAACAGGACAAACCAATGTATTTATAATGGGAAAAAGTACAAGCATCAAGAAGTGCCAAAGTCATGAATCATAAGCATATAAGAATGTTTTCTAAAATACACATGTATAAAAATCTGATTTTTAAACACAATAGGTATAGACAAATCCCATAATCACTGTGAGAGAACTTGAACAGGCTTCTCTTAGAGAGACAGAACAATTGGCCCCCTGAAAAGTAATGATCCAAATAATGCAATTTTAAAACTTAATCTGAGAGGGGTGCTTGGCTGGCTCAGTTGGAAGAGCATGCGACTCTTGATCTCAGGGTTGTGAGTTCGAGCCCCATGTTGGGTGTAGAAATTACTTTTAAAAAAAAAACCAAAACAACTTAATCTGAGAGAACAAACTTTACACTCAAACAGTAAATAAGCATTTTCAAACACACATGAAATCGTCACAAAAATTGGCCACATATTAGGTCATAAATAAAAATTTCAACAAATTCCGGAAAGCCGATGTCACATGGGCTATGTTTTGCTTATACGCAGTAAGATCAGAAATTAACAGCAACATGAATATAAAAACTATCCACTTGGAAGTTTAAAAAGCTATACTGCTCTATAATGCTCTAGTTAAAGAGAAAAGCAAAGCAGAAATTACAAACAATTTAGAACTGAACAACAATGAACAATAATAAAACCTCTGGTTTGAGGCCAAAGTGGTACTCAGAGGAAAATTACAGCTTTAAATACACTTCCAAAAACCAGAGAGACTGAAAATTATCTAGGCATTTAAATTAAGGGGCTAGGAAAGGAAAAATAAAACCAAAGAAAGAAGAAATCGTCAATGAAAGTAGAAATTAAGAAAATGAGAGGAAAGAAAAGTAGTAGATATCTAAAAATCAAAAGCTGACTTTTGAAAGGACCAATTAAAAAAAAAAAAGCCTTTAGCAATTCTTACCAGCGACAAAAGAGAAAAAAGACTAATAAGCCTTTGGAATGAGGAAAGGCCTATGACTACGGATCTAGACATATATTTAATTCTGAGAGAAAACTATATGCAGTTTCATAGCAAAAAAATTTCAGTTCTGGATGAAATGATAATTTAAGAAAATATAAATAAACAAAAGTGGCTCAAGAAAATATATAAAACCTGAATAGGCCAATGATTATCGATGAAATTGAAGAGACAAATCTCCCCCATGAATGGCACAAAGCTCTTTTTATTATCTATCTATAAACTGCTCCAGAGCCTGGAAAATAAAGGAACTTTCCAGCTCACTGTAACAGCCTAAGCATACTCCTAGTAACAAAGCGGACGGGGTGGCATGTGGTTGTGGGCTAACGGCCAGGCCTGCCCCACCTTCTGGGGACAGGAGCAGCCTGCGTGTGGGACCCAGAGAGGTGCATTCAGTCATCCATTTGCCAACCCTCTTCTAAACACATACTCAGTGCCCACCACTCTGCTTGGTACTTGGGGTAGTTAAAGAATAAGCTGCATCTCGCTATCAAGGTACTTAGAGGCTAGCTGGGCTGGTACTTAAAGAAAAATAACACCACAGGACAGAAAGTGATACATACTTTGGGAAAATCTAGGTCAGGCGGGGAGGTCCCTTCAGCTTGGAGGGGATAATGCAAGGGTTTAGCCAAGAGGGGATATTGATCCTGCCCTTTAAAGAAAAGCATTTGACATAAAAAAGATAGGGTCTGGGGAAGGCCTTCCAGGCAGAGAAACAGCATGAGCAAGGGCCTGGAGGCTGGGAAGGAAAGGGGGTCGGTGTGCTGGCATAAAAGTTCTGTGATGGGGGAGCAGGTGGGAGAGAGGAGACAGGGAGACTAGAGGCTGGGCCTCTTGGATCCTGAACTAAAATCTTTGAACTTAGTGGGTGCTGGGGATCTACCAAAGGTTCAGAGAGGGAAGAGATGCAGTCAGAGAGGGGTGAGTGTGGCAGCCGGAGAGGGAAGGGCCTGGAGGGGGAGGCTGTGAGGAGGTGGAGGAGGGGCCAGGGCAGAGGCAACCAGGGCATCAGTGAAGGCAGATGGGCCTGAGAGGCAGAGGAAACAGTGAATGGGCAGACACGGAGGACACAGGACACGGGGAATGGGGGCCAAGGGGAGAGAGGAGAGTGGAGGGCGCCG